GCTAGCTTTCTGTTTTGTTGGGGTTTTATTTAATATACAGTTTTTACTTTATATCACAACAAATTTGAAGTACATTGGTAGCCACCTTCATTCTAAATTTTGTAGCACAAGCGTTAATCTATTCCTGCCTGTAAACTCAGCCTACATAGATGAGCAGAGTAAACCTCTATATGTAGGCACACTCACTGCAGTCTTCCTAAGCCTCTTACTACTGGAGTAAACAAAAACAAATTTGCATTAAACTACAGGGAGTTTCCACTAAGCCTTTTGTCAGTGATTTAACTAAATCCATTTTCAAAGAACAGCTGAAGTCTAAAGGCTTGCTATGGTCAAGTTTAATACATGTTTCCACACACCTGCATTAGTTGAGTGTGAAGCACCAAAATTAAAGAGAGTCAGATCACTTCCCTTTTACAGAGAATGGATAACAGAAGGTGCTCATTTCTGACTGCTGTAAAAAAAAATAAGCAGTTTTATAAATGCTTTTTTTCATTAAAAAAAAACAAAAACAAAACCAAACCCAAGCCCCAAAAACTCCAATACAGAGCTATTTCCACCTCCCCTTACAGGATGCAAATGGCACTTGGCCACTGTTCCCTCCCTGAAGTGAACATGAATCCATCTCCTCCTCAAAAGGAGGAAAGTGAGAAAAGTGTGCAAGCTCAGTCCTCCTGCCTGGAAATCACAGCCCATCTCACTGCTGTCAAGAGAGAGGGAAGATCTGCCAGCACCAGTTGGATCCCCAAACTATAAATCCTAAGAAATCTCTTTCCTGCCTTCACTCAGCAATGCAATAGCTGCTTTCCAACTGGCTGCAAGAGGGTAAGACAACAGCAACAAAACACCTCAAATTGTTTAAGCTGCTAAGCCTCTACATAACTAAAACCAACAAGTAGGATAAGTGTTAGTTAACACATCTACACCAACACCTCCCTTGCAGAATTTCTGGGATAGACTTTTACCCATCAGTCTGGACAGGATTATTCCTCCCACCACCCACTGACACAACACCCATAGGAGTTAAAACAGCAATGCAACGGTATCCGTGAGCTTCTACAGAGAGGGACTTCACAGAGACAATAACCTCAGTGTGCATGAACATTCCTACTTTCATGGGTAAATACATTCCTACACATTCCTTCAGGAAGGAAGGACAGAGATTTAAGGTTTCTCTTATTTGCTAAAATCTCTCCTTTTGAAGTGCACTCACAAAAATAATACTAAAAACATCCACACAACAGTTACCCAACTGAGAAGCTCTAGCCAACTTGGCTTTTATTTAAGCAAATCTTGTATGACAGACTGTCGAGAGTGCTTGAATTTTATTTCAGGATAACACACTTTGCTGTTCATATGACATGTCCATTCTTCCGTTCTTTTAAGAAAAAAATAGACACTTGGCTCCTTTGTAGTTATTTTTTCAGATGAAAGATATAAGAGGAGGACTACACTGCTCATTTTTTCCCAATCATTCAATTTCCAGTATTTCTGTCAGCATCTACGCTATAATTCTCAGCAATGAGAAACTGTATGTGTAGAAATATCAGTGCTAGTATTTCCAAAAGTGATGATCTGAATTTTGTGTAGCTATGTGGAAACCTTCATGGTGAGATTCTCACCCACATCTCACACCACCTACAGCAATTACCACAGGCCTCAGCTTACCTTAATACAGGGCACGAAAAAGCTTGACTTAAATATTCAGGCAGTTGCATTAGCTCCTAGGTTCTTCTAGACACACTATATGGGCCAAACGGAAGCTTAGGCACCTAAAAACTATTTGACAGTTTTGCAAGTTAAGGCTACCCAGCAAGTTACTTATCCGTAACAATAAAACACCTTCTTTATTACCACTGCAGCACAAGCAGGGTCCTCTACCAAACTCAAGCAACTCTATAGAGCCTTCCCATCCTCCACCGAGCCTCTGTAACCCAGATCACCTCCACCCAGCACTTCCACAGCTTGCTGGGAAAAAAGCAAGCACTCAGTCTGAGAAATAAGCCACAAAGAGATACTCCAGTGCCCTCATTCAGGCTGAAAATAAACTCAGTTCATCATTAAGGGGGCAGACTGCTTGTTTAGCTTTACTTTTGCTCCCATCCCAAAGACACTGCATTAAAATCACCTTTAAGCTGAGACGGCCAAAGCTCCTGAGATGTCTGATGAAATAAAAGCAGAAAAATCTTGATATAGAGACCCCAAACAGACACCACTTTAAGGACCTTCTCAAAGCCTTCCATAAAATTGAGAGCCATCTATGCACAAAAAACTGAAACAAAACTGAGTCCTGTGAGTGAAACCATGAGCCACGCTAGCAAGTGAGACCCCTGGCTATCTGAATGCTGAAATCACATGCCCCAGTAGCACAGGTCTACCAGACATCCACGTTCCTGGTGGAAAGGGCATTTCAGGCAACTGCAGTTAATAATACCCTGCTACCTCCAAGAAGCCAAATTAATTTGGAACAGACAGATGAAGATCCAACAGCATTCATTTCTCCCTGCAAGAACTAAAAATTACCTGTCAAGTTATCCACCGTAAAAGTTCCTCATTTTAGCTCATGTTAAACTGCTCAACTGTGACTAAGTTGTGAGCAAAACTCATGGCATCCTTGGCTTTTAGCAATAATTTCTTCCCAGAGCAGAACTTCCTGGGTTCTGGGGTTGGAGATTTTTCTTCCAGCATAGGAAGTCTTTGTGGTTATGGTGGAAAACCCTCATCAAACAAGAAAACTCAGAATTAATATCCCTTTCCTACCACCACAGTGCTTTGGGCATTTCTGTAATTAGTGTATCTCAAGCTCTTCTGCAGAAAGGACTAGCACCCAGCACTGAGAGACAGCACCTCCTTACATGTAAACCCTCGTTTGACAGCGATGCCAGAAAACACAGGAACATCCTGCAACAAGTATTTTGGGTAATTTAACCAAGGCGAATATTAAGCATCAGTAAACTACTGTAAATTGCTCTGAGGGATTAAATGGCTTTCCCTCCCATGCCCTCCATTATCTGGATAACAGCCAAAGCCTCTTGCAGAACGCTGAATGAAAAATATATTCCTCAGCTCACGCTCTGTTAAATATTAACTAAGATCATGTTGAAGCTGCAAACAGATTTAAAATAACTGTAAAGCTATTTCAGATAATAGCCAGTACGGAAGTTAGTGCAGAAGACAGCAAAAGTTTCAAATACCAAAAACCTAAACAACCAGATATCTTCAATTCAGTTATTTAACTCCCCAGCATCCTGATTCCTTTAGAGTACAACTTAAAACAATTTGTAACACTTATTTACATAGCATCTCATTTTAAAAGGTATCCCAAGCACTTCCAAAACATGAAAAAAAAAAGAAGAAAATCCGTAAAACCAGATGTCAAAACAAACAGATTAAATGGAAGAATCAACCCACCCTCACAATTAAAACCAGTACAAAAGCTTAAATAACAGCAACACTGGCTAGATCCAAAGGGGATTTATGCAAACCACTCTTTTTCAGGCAGGCCGGATCTTTTTCAGCAGAATACACCTTAAGAGAGCAGAGACATCTAATCAAACAGATCCTGGAGGGGTGAAACCTTTCACACTCCAGGATGAACAAATCCCCTCTGGGAAATGCCGGTGCCTGTTTCATTTAATCAGCGTTTTGCCATTTGTGCTTTCTGAAGAGCAGAGTCAAGGAGCAATCACTGGCCAGGCTCTGAGCCAGGTTTACAGCCAGGGTAATGAGACACAGCCCGATTAACTTGAAAAGAGTTGCATTTATTTACATTAAATGGTGATTCTGATCGGAATGTTTTAATGGGATGATGCTGGATGACTTAGTGGGCAACATACCAGAAATCGTTCATTTATGTAGGTGGCATAAACATGTAGTAAATATAATTTTCATGAATTATACCCATTACCAAAACCAATAATTACACAGCCAGTGCTCCTGTTTCCACATATGTGTTTGGTGGTATGCTGTTCTTTTAAGAAATTCATTCATTTTCTGTCTAAACTGGTCCATCACAGAGACAACACAGCTCTCCACCCTTCCGACACCTTCAGCTAGACTGCCTTACGGGCTATATACATATAAGGCTGCACCTAAGACGACAAGCCCAGGGGTGCTTCCGAAGTCACCCCAGCACGTTGCCACTGCACGTGTCCTGGCAATGACTCGATGGCAACCCTGGCAGCGTGCCCATGATGGACCTTGTCCCAGGGTGGCCACCGATACCCCCAGCCCCAAGGGCAAACCAAAGACCGAGGGACAGCTCTCCACCAGAACGCATCTGTGGATCTGCCTGCTAGAAAAGGAGCTGCTTTCCCAGCCCCGTGACAGAACCGCGTGGCGCAACCCCCCCTCCAATTAATGTAAGATGCTATTTCACCCCCCCACCCCCCTTTTTTTTGCTGTTTTTTTGTTTGTTTGTGCTTGTTTGTTGTCACTACCAAAGCCGCACGACCGAGGCTTTCGGAGAAGTTCAACCACGCTGCCACGGCTCCTCCCGAGCTGATGCCGCCGCACCTCTACCTCGCAACGCCCATTTTGCCCACGAAAGGGTACTTCAAATACAAGACGCACCCCGCATTTAACCCCGATGAAAGGAGCGTGCTCCGGGTCCCCCGGAGGGCCAGCCTGCCTGTTAGGAACGTTAGGGTGTTAAGAGCCATCCCGTGCCTCTGCCTACAGGTCCCGCCTTACTCTCTTCGGGCACACCACAGATCATCTTCTGCTCCGGCAATAGAACATTAAACAGAGAGCAAAGCCAGGTCGCTGCCAAGAGCCGTAACCACCGCACCCGGGGAGGGAAGCCTCCCCCGGCACCAGAGCCGCCTTCTGCCCAGCCTGGCCCCTCCAATCCCGGAGCCAAGCCCGTTCCAGCAAGGACGTTCACCTCATATTCACCTCAAAACAAACACTACAGCACCACCCCCCGCACCCCAGGGCTAGGCACGGGCTGCCAGCTGCCCCTCCGCCAGCAGATCCCCTCGCCCCCCCCCGGCCCACCTCACCTCCCACAGCAGCGAGAGCAGCAGCGCGACCCCGGTCTGGAAGCGGTTCATCTCTCCTCCTCCTGCTGCTCCTCCGGCGGTGGGCTCGTCCTGGCCGGCTCAAGGCGCTGTCAGCGACGCCATCCCGGGCGGGCAGTGGGGAAGCTCCGGGGACAGCCGAGGGGCAGCGAGCAGGACGGGCTGACACACAGCCCGGAGGAAGGGGCGGTGAGAAGCCCGCGAAGGGGGCAGAAAGACGAGGCGGGGCGGGGACGGAGGCGGGCTGACCCGCCGATCCCCTCAGCCGGAGCCTGGCAGGCAGCGCCGCGGCGAGGCGGAGGGCAGCGTGGTGCTGGGGCGGGCGGCACAAAGAGGCCGAGGGCGGGGAGAGGAGTCGGCCCGCCCCGGCACCGCCTGGCGCCTCGGAACGGGGGAGTGGGAGCGGTCCAGCGGACCCCTGCCGGGCCGTGGGGGGCGAGTAACGGACTCCTCTATGACGGGAGGGCGAACCGGGCCCTGGCCTCGCAGCCCGGCGGCCTGTGCCGGGAGGGGTCGTGCGGGGTCTCCGGGAGAGGGCAGCAGCCGGTCGGGGTGCCCCCCGTGCCGGCCCCGAGGTGGAGGAGCAGGCCCGTGTGGGCCTTGTGGAGCGCAGCGGGGCCAGTTGGAGGTGGAGAAAGATGATCGTCCCCTTCTGCTGTGCTCGTGAGACCCACCTGAGTGCGGTATCCAGCTCAAGGTCCCCAGCGCCAGACAGTCACCTGTTGGAGCAGGTCTAGAGGAGGCCGTGGAAATGGTCAGGGCACTGGAACAGGTTTTCTTCTTGTGAAGACAGAGTTGGGGTTGTTCAGCATGGAGAAAAGAAGGCTCATAGCAGCTTCCGATAGATGAAGGAGCTTGACAAGAGATCTGGAGATGGACATTTTACAAGGGCATGTCATGACAGGATAAGGGGGAATAGTTTTAACCTGACAGAGGAGAGATTCAGATTACACATCAGGAAGAAGTTCTTCCCTGTGAGGGTGCTGAGGCACTGGCACAGGGTGCCCAGAGAAGCTGTGGCTGCCCCATCCCTGGCAGTATTCAAGGCCAGGCCAGACGGGGCTTTGAGCAAGCTGCTCTAGTGGAAGGTGTCCCTGCCCATGCAGGGGGTTGGAACTGGATGAGCTTTAAGGTCCCTTCAACCCAAACCAGTCTGATTCTATATAAAGACACGAGCTGATCCATATTAGATGATGACACCCAGTGTACAGTGTGTCTTTTCCTATGTAAGAAAACATGACTTTTCAACTTGAACTATAAATAGAGACACGTGTGCGTAGTTGCATCATTCCGTCTTCACTGTTGGACAAAGTCATGGCTGTGACTTCTCCTTAGGCGTCTAGCAAATTCAGAGATGTGCTTGTCTGAAAAATACACTTCTCAACTTCAGACTGGTTGACATCGAATAGAGACAAAAAGAGATATCAAAACCAGGAAGGACTTGTACAGGCTACCTGTGAGTACATGATGTCACACAGTGTGCAAGAATGTGTTAGTTTAGTCACCTCATACACATATGACCTAGACCTGAGAAAAAGTATGATTAATGGATGATAAAAACTGCCAGCTGGAAGCCACTCCAGAACTCCCCCAAAGTTCACTGTATAGAAATAACAACCACCTGCTGACATTTTGCTGGGCAACATGGCATCAGGAGGCAGCAAGTTTCTCCCTTGAAGACTATAACAACAGGAAAGTGCTGAATGAAGGATCTGTGTGTTGCAAGAATGTGCTAATCAGTTTTTAATAGATAGCCCACAAAAGGACAGTGGAAGGGTACACCTCCTTCAGGAATGCTGCTTGGAAAGGTCTGCATTCGGAGGGAAACAGGAGAAGGTAAGAGTTTCCTCCCTTATCTATTTTGGTATTCTCCTGAGGACTAAATAGCTAGCTGTCCTGTAAAGCAAGAGCAAGAGACCTCAATAAACTCCAGTCTCTCCTGAACTTAAAAAAACAGACTAAACACAGGTGTCCTGCTGTTGTAAGACTGGGAAGGGCTTGGAAAGGGAGGCTCAAAGCACTAGGACAAGGTGGGGGTGAAGGAAACATCTGGGCCATAACTATACCAGACACCTAGTCATGGGGCTCACTGCAGGAATTGGTGAACACCTTCCCTCTGGTCTAGGATTAGTCCTCAGACCTTTATAAGATGACGTAGGACTGTTACTATGCATACTGAAGAAATGAAGGACCAGGGTGGGAGCACACCCTCTCTGAAGTGTCAAAGGTGCACCCTGCAGGCTGGGGGTCAAAGCCCATCCGTGCAGTTCCTGTTCCTGTCTACCAGGCTGATGCAGGCCCATCACAGAACCATAGAATGGTTTGGGTTGCAAGGGATCTTAAAGCTCATGCAGTTTCAACCCTACCACGGGCAGGGACACCTTCCACTAGACCAGTTTGCTCCAAGCCCCATCCAACCTGGCCTTGAACACTGCCAGGGATGGGGCAGCCACAGCTTCTTTGGGCACCCTGTGCTAGCGCCTCAGCACCCTCACAGGGAAGAAATTCTGCCTAATGTCTAATCTCAATCTCCCCTCTGTCAGTTTAAAGCCATTCCCCCTTGTCCTGTCACTACATGCACTTGTAAATAGTCCCTCTCCGAATTTATTTCAGGCCCCCACTAGGTACATACAAATAAAGTCAGGCATCATTTCAAAAAGGCTCCAATTCATAGAAATTAGAAGGACATTTTTCAGAGCCCTGTCCTGGCACATGCCTTTATCACTAAACAACCTTCCCATTCCTAATTTCTGTGTTGTGTGACCCAGGAGATGGCATTTTGGAGACATAACCAAGACACGATGACTTCTCACAGAGAAGCCAAACAGCGTGACTCATGTAGGGAGACACCAAGTGAATCTGAATGTCAGTGCTGAGCACAGGTGCTCTGTGCCGCTGAGGTATTTCCTGACAGGGGTGGTCTGACAGCCCAGAGATGGGCAGAAACCCTGATAGCACAAATTCTGGGATGACTGAGAGAGCACTAATGCATAAAGAAAAGGTAGGAGAGGAATCTGGGGTCTTGCAACATAAGACATCACTACCCATTGGAGGCCATCAGCACCTGCCCTTTCATCTGATGTCCCACTATCCAATACACCTAAGCAAGAGCCAGCTGTCAGATACATTTCAGTTAATCATTAACACATACATCACTAGCAAGTTTAGCTTGAGAACGCATTAGGGTTTTTTTTCCTCACAAAAAAAGGCAAGAAAGGAAAAAAAAAATACATATATATAAACACTGTTTTTATCCAATAACAGATTAGCAAGAGTGAGATGGGAACAGTGGGCTGGAAGAATAGGAAGCCACACAGCTTCCTAGCACATGGTTTATTATCCAGGCTAGATAAGGATATGGATATCCTATGCTATAAAATCCTTTCCAGGCCAAGAGATAAGCTGAAAAAGGAAAACCAGCTCCTGACCCAGGAATAAATGGTTTCATATTTCATTTCAGTCATATCTTTGCTCCTTTAAGTGATGTCTTCTTTCATTTCCGCCTAGCTTCAAGGAGCCATCGTCATCCCCAGGGAAAGCCCATTAGCTTTAATGGAGTTCGAGTACAAATGAACTTAGCCCAGCATGTGGCATTTTCTCAGCAAAAGTGCGAGTGGCAGCAGAGCCCCTTCAAGCTTGTCTAGGCAATAAACACTTTCACTCCACTGCACTGCAGCTCGGCAGCAAGGCATGGAGGGTGCACGCACTGTGCCAGTTTGATACAACACTGAAATGAGGTAAGGCTTTTGTTGGAGGCAAGGTCCCTAGGTAAAAAAACCCAGCCTCTTCCTTCCCATCCTGATTCCAGTCTTTCTTCAGATATGGCATTCAAAGAGCTTAATACACTATAGCCCCCAGAACCTGCACATATAAGCAAACATATATATTTGAAAAGAAAATAAAAAATAGTTCTAGGAGCAGTATCATAGAATGTTTAGGGTTGGAAAGGACCTTAAGATCATCTAGTTCCAACCCCTGCCATCAGCCGGGATTCCTCTCACTAGACCATGTCACCTAAGGCTCTGTCCAAACTGGCCTTGAACACTGCCAGGACATTCGTGACTTCTTTGAGCAGCCTGCTCCATTGCCTCACAGTAAAGAACTTCTTCCTTATATCTAACCTAAACTTCCCCTGTTTAAGGTTGAACCCATTACCCCTTGTCCTATTGCTACAGTCCCTAATGAAGAGTCCCTCTCCAGCATCCTTGTAGGCCCCCTTAAGATATTGGAAGGCTGCTCTGAGGTCTCCACGCAGCCTTCTCTTCTCCAGGCTGAACAGCCCCAACTTCCTCAGCCTGTCTTCATACAGGAGGTGCTCAAGTCCCTCGACCATCCTCATGGCCTCCTCTGGACTTGCTCCAACAGCTCCATGTCCTTCTGTTGAGGACACCAGAACTGCACACACTGCTCACGAGAGCAGAGTAGAGGGGCAGGATCACCTCCTTCAACCTGCTGGTCACGCTTCTTTTGATGCAGCCCAGCCCATGGTTGGTTTCTGGCTGTGAGCGCACGCTGCTGGCTCATGTTCAGTTTTTCGTTGAATTACTCTGATCGAGGCTTGCACTGCAGCTAGAACATTCACAGTATCCCTTTCCTGTGGATTCTTGGGCAATAATATTGCCGTCATTCTCTTAGCAGAGGTGCCAATATTAACATATTTCTTTGACTCAGCCATCTTTTTCCTGAAACATAAAAGCATACACTGTTTTTGAGACTGCCACTCTTCTATTGATTTCAAATTGAGTAACAGGTGTAAAAATGCATAGGGGGTACTCTATTTATTTTGAACCTAGACTGGTAAATATTTTTAAAGACTATAGTGCATATAAACTGCTCTTTATTGAGCATTTTCTTGTTTATATTGAAACAGTTGTTTCTAATACTATTGAGAAATACTCAGTTTCCACTCAGTGTGTGTGAAGCAGGTTAACAACTTTATTATGAGCAAACAAATACAGTTGCAAATTCTCATTTGCAACTCTGCATGGACTGTAAATCTACAATTTTGTATTTATTAAAATATGCCACTATCTCCTTCATGGGTCCTATTAAAAATTAGTCAAATTCTTGTTTGTTTTCCAAACTCCGCATTCAAGTGTAGGATCTACCTCAAATATATCTTGAGATTTTTTTTATGATTGTGTAAATGGCAATAGCCTTTGTCAGTAAGTAAAAGAAAACCCTTTTAAATTACATTAAATTCAGTAAATGTCTCAGCCCTTCAAAATCACCACTGATATCTGCT